GAGCGTTTTGTACGAGACTTCCTTAAAAAGTGAGCCGCGGAAGTCTCGGGAATCCCATTAGGATGTCTTGGGTTTCAAATAGGGCTTCGCTTCTTTAGGGTTGCTGGCTGGTTTGCCATAGGACTTTGCTGTTTTAGGATGTCTTTGGTTGTGACTTAGAGCTTTACTTCTTGAGGGTCTCTTTTGGCCTGCCTTATCGCTTCACTTCTTTAGGATGTCTTTGCCCCAAATTCAACAGCATCTCTTGCTCAACATTTTGTGTTTTGTGCACATGGTCGTGATAATGATGTGCTTTGGCGAAGCTGGGTTTGGTTTTGCTCAGGGCTTTGCTCTTTTAGGGTTTTGTTTGGTTTGCCTTAGGGGCTTGCTTCTTTAAGATGTTTTTGGGGTGGCATTAGGGCTTCAGTGGAGAGGGGCTTAGGGCTTCACTTCTTTAGTCTTTTGTCTTTTGCTTCAGGCTTCACTCCTTTAGGGTTTCATGTGGTTGGGCTTCCGGCTTTGCGTCTCTAGGATGTCTTTGGGTCGAATGAGCCTTTACTTCTTTGGGGTCTCTCTTGGTTTTGCTTCAGGCCTCGCTCCTTTAGGGTTTCTTTGGTCTTAGCTTAGGGCTTCACTTCTTGAGGATGTCTTTGGATTTGACTCAGGGCTTCACTTCTTGAAGATCTGTTTTTTTTGCTTAGGGTTTCGATCCTTTAGGTTTTCTTTTGCTTCTTTAGGATGTCTTTGGTTTGGGTTTAGGCCTTCACGTGAGGGCTCCTTTGGGATGTCTTGGGTTTCACTTAGGGCTTCACTTCTTCAGGGGGGTTGGTTTGCCTTAGGGCTTTGCTCTTTAGGATGTCTTTCGTTTTCACTTAGGGCTTCACTTCTTTAGGATGTCTGTGGGTTTGAATCAAGGCTTCACTTCTTTAGGGTTTGGTTTGGTTTTGCTTAGGGTTTCGCTCCTGTAGGGCCACGGTTTCTTTTGGCCTGGCGTAGGGCCTTGCCTCTTTAGGATGTCTGTGGGTTAGACTTCGGCCTTCACCACCACCCCCTCAAAACAAGAACGCTTCTCAGAAACCACTCCCCAGAAACCACTTCCCAGAAACCACTTCCCACAAATCACTTCTCAAAAACCACTGCCCAGAAACCACTTCCCAGAAACCACTTCCCAGAAACCACACCACTTCCCAGCAACCACTTCCCAGAAACCACACCACTTCCCAGCAAAAACTTCCCAGAAACCACCCCCCCGAAACCACTCCCCAGAAACCACTTCCCAGAAACCACTTCCCGGAAACCACTTCCCGGAAACCACTTCCCGGAAACCACTTCCCAGAACCCACTTGCCAGAAACCACTTCCCAGAAACCACTCCCCAGAAACCACTACTTCCCAGAAACCACTACTTCCCAGAAACCACTTCCCAGAAACCACTTCCCAGAAACCACACCACTTCCCAGAAACCACTTCCCAGAAACCAGACCAGCCCCCAGAAACCACTCCCCAGAAACCACTTCCCAGAAACCACTTCCCAGAAACCACTTCCCAGAAACCACTTCCTAGGTTCCAAAACGAGACGAATCTAGGTTCCAAAACGAGACGAATCCAGGTTCCAAAACGAGGCGTCGGCCCTGAAGTAGAGGCTAAGACCTAAGCAACACATCAATCCTCACACAGTATCAGTAACGGATTCGCGGCCTTTATCCGATTAGTTGCCTTCAAGACTGCATTCTCGTGAGTCATAGCTGCTGCTGCTCCTCCTCCTCCCCTCCTCCTCCTCCTCCTGCTCCTCCTACTACTACACAGCTACACCGAGGAAGCGACGTCCAAAAGTAAATTGGCCTACCAGCAGCATAGGAGGTGAGAGTCGGTGAGAGTGCTGAGGAAACTAAGTTGGATGACTGACTTTAGGAACACTTGTCGAAAGTTGTTGAAAACTCGGGTAGCCGACTCATATCCATTCGACCGAAAAAAAGCTGGGCGGATATGAGGAAGAAGGTGTTGGTCAAACACCGAGAGCGTATTTCAGAGAGTTGAGGACTGAAGCGACTGTCCTTTTTGAACGAACCGATAACTTCCAATGTGCAGCCGCTGTCCTTTGGTGGTAATGTCGGGAAGATGAATCATCTTCGACTCCTGGACGAATAATGCTCGCTCATCAAGAGAAACACAGGAAAGCGCACATCACACAGTCACACAGTCATATGATGTCACATGTGTTCCTGACATCGCTGAGAGTTAGTGACAAAGGCCTAAGAACCTAGGTTGGAGGCCATCGCCTTTAGGTTGAAGGCCATTGCCTTTAGGTTGGAGGCCATCGCCTTTAGGTTGAAGGACATTGCTTTTAAGTTGGAGGCCATCGCTGGTAAGTTGGAGGCCATCGCCGCTTTTCAAGGTCGCCTGCACTTCCTGCCCTGCAGCCTCCTTCTTGGCTTTCTTCCCCATGGCGCTGCACAAGGGCTGTGGCTGTTGATGGCGAAGCATTCCCCAGCCATTGGTGTGTGCTATGGTTGCAGTGGCTCAATCGAGATCCCCACATTGGGGAAAGAGTAAGGTATTTGCAATATCCTCATTGAGCGGAGAATGCAGAGCAGGTCAAGACGAAATAGAAAGACTTTCACATTGGTTTGAAAGTCTCCTCTCAAATCCCAGGGCAGAATGTGTAGCCATCCATCAGTCTTTGCCCTCAAAAGCCAATCCAAGGAAGCGTTTTGCCGAGTTCATGATTCAGTTGGAAGGGCAAAGGCAAATCAACGCCCTCATATCTGCAAAGCCAAATCTGCTACGAGACAAAAACCAAGCAAGGTTAATGATCGAAGCAAAGGAAACATTCGCTGATTATGACCTTGTCGAATTGGGTGCCATGCCATGCAGTCAAACAATCGGGGGTTCGAATGGCACCACAAGGTAGCCCGGAGGCATGATGCTTGAATCAGTCCCAAGGCTCTTCCTTTCATACAAGAAAAGGTGATCATTTCGATTCCATCCGAGCAAAGGGCAAGCACCCCAAGCATAAGGAAAGTCTTGCCAAAGCATGCTCTCAGAACCTGACCGAATAGCTTCCAGGCCTGACTAACAAACGTGTTTGCTCCAAAAGCTGAACTCTAGGAGCATAGCGGAGTGGCAAGACTTGACACTGAACAGGGCTCTAAGGGCTCTAACTGTTTTTTTCTCATGGTTTCTGGGCGTCACTTTGCCGCAGTTGCAGAGCTCTCTGGCTCTCTGGGTGTCTGGGCGTCTGCATGCGGCGCAAAGGTGCAGGAGGCGAAGCCCAAGGCTGCCTCGCACAACGGCTGCCCATCCATGTTTCTAGTCTCTTTCCTCCCATATACAGGAGCAAAGCAAAAACCACACAAACGTCGAGACATCTTCGGTAAGCCCGTCCTAGAAAAAAGAAGAGATAGAAAGGAAGATAGCGGGCTCACCGTCCTTTCTTTAGATGTCTTGTTTGTGTCTTTTCTGATCGATGCCCCCTGGCTGTCCCGTCCTGGGGCACCCTGCCACAGTTGTGCCTTGGGCGGCGCAGACTCGTGGCGCCGCCGGCCATCCTGCAAGGAGGCCTCAGTGAAAACCCTGTAAGTGGCGTCATCCCAAAGCCAAGCCGAGTGTGGGGTTCAACGGCTGGGTCTCCAACTGATCTGGAGCTTGAACTCTTGTTGCCACCTGCAATTGGAAGATGGCTGTGTCACATTTCTCCAACCGCTAAGCTGCACAAGTTCCAGCTTTGCCAAGTTCTCGAGCGCTTGAGTGTTCATATAATGAATAGACTCACGTACAGTAAGAAACTTGATGTGCTTGTGACCTCTGTATACCTTTGTGCCCTGTGTCTCTCGCAGCCTGAAAGCATCTCAGACAGCAACGCTTGAGCCTGAGAGGGATCAGCTCGCAACGCCGGGTCCTTTTATGATCACTGGCCATGACCTGGGATGTGTGTTTCCTGCACAAGTACTTGTGAGCTGAGTTCGGCGGCCGGCACTTGAGACTAAAAAAAGCCGGTTCGAACCCAGCCAGCTGAGCCAGCTGAAACAGCTGAACAATGAGATGAAACTGCGCGCGGAGTTGGTTTTTCTCCAACACCCTCAGTGCTGCGCCTCCTCTAATCTTTCAAAGTTGCGCGCATCAGCAGTGGCCTGAGGAGAACATGAGCCACACCAATTGTGTAGCTTCCAGCAAAAGCAAGCCAAATGTCAAATGATATGTCGTGTGTTTGTTTGTGTGTGTGTGTGTGTGTCATGAATCAACAAAAAACCTACTTACCATCCTTGAGCGTCCATTGTCACCAACCACCAGTCAATTAGTAATTCCTGTTGCACCGGCTGGATGAGAAAGCCACACCATTGGGCCCTTGCCGCGCGGCGACGACACCCTGGCACTGGCATTCAAGTGATAGAGACTGACACCCTAGTGCAAAATATATCAAAATATGATCTCCAGCTCCAATTGGCTAGGCCCAAACATAAATATGTGTTCAATGCCACAAGGCTAGACTAGACCTGGACTGGAGCCAGCAGGTGAAGACACATCACCTTGGATTGAGCAAGGATGCGGTTTCCAGCTGCAGCTCTGCAGGTTAACTGGAGTGGTTGTGGGCGTTGTTCCCAGGCAGGGTGAGATGGGGATGATCTCTGCAACCGAAACTGCGTTGATTCATCTGAAAGCAAAGGTTGAGAATGCGTTTATATCTTTCTTGAGCCCGCTCTGCCCCCCTACTACTTAATTGAGTAGGCGCCTATTTAACCAAGTAAGGGCTAAGTTGACTCCTAGGTAGGACGCAGGATAGCTCGCGCGATTCATTTGGCTCCTAGATTCTTAGGAAAATCCTGTTATTGTATCTTTTTGAATCTCTTGACACCTACTTATCCTGACTCATGAACTCTCTACAGTAGGTCTTTTCAATGCCAGCCAAGCCACTCCAGGATGCCTCAGAACCATGGTAGACCAACAGCAAGTATATAAGTGGGGATGACCAAATTATGGCGGATGGACGAAACAACACGAGGTTATGTCTTATGTATGTATAGATATGTCTTGAGTCTAACATCACCGTTACAAGTTCTGCTAGTTAAGGGCTTCTTTGGTCAATCCAAGCTCAGCATTTTGCCTTAAACAGTTGTCCTGTTGTCCTCCGATATGTCTTCAGCTCTCCACAATTCAGATGTGAGGACTATAGATAACCTCTGCCACGAACTCTTCCTTTAGCTGTGAAAAGTCCGTGAAGCCTCCCATGAGTCTGAAACCATCGTAAATGCTTTCATCATAAAGGCCTTTGCTAGTAATTACAATTCTAATTAAATTCTTATTGTTACTAGTAGTAAGGCACTTGTTCCTAGTAGCGAACATTGTTACTACTAGTAAGGCACCTGTTACTAGTAGCGATGCACTTGTTACTAGTAGCTTCCTACCTCCCATGAGTCTGAAACCATCGTAAATGTTTCGTAAAGCATGGAGGCCATCGTAAAACAAAGATCTCTGTTTTCCCCTGAGCAAAGCACCTGATGGATCCCAGGCCTCAGCTCAGGATGATGCAGTCGATCGAAAGCCAGCTTACCGGTCCGAGAACGCCCAAGAACCAAAGAGAAACCAAAAAGCCCAGCAAAGGCCTTTTGTCTTTTCGTGTCTTTTCCTTCTTTGCCAATGTTGGAGAAAGCTAACCATAGCAGGGAAGTCAATGAAGGCCATTTCTGACACGATTCCCAAAGAAAAGGAATTGCTCAGGCTAGAAAGTCTCGAGCTGTAGGCCCTCACGAGGCGCGGGTCGAAGGTGTACTGATCGTGGCCCAGCTCGAGTGGAAGGCCTAAGGTGACAGCCACTTGGATCAGAAAGGGTCCAACAAATGGATGGGCTGTCAACCTTTCTCGCCCAATTTCTGGATTAAGGATCCACATCTGAATTCAACTTTTCGTTGCTGATCATGCAAGTTTCATTGGTATGCCGGTGTACGCCGGCATACACCGACAAAACCCATTGGGTACAAAGACTGTTCGGTTCCAAGTTTTAAGCCAACTAGAATAGAAAATTGCCACTTAACACCAAAAAAGAATAAAAAGGAAAGCCGCAACTGCTTGCGTGACTCTTATATAGGTGACCTGGATCAACCTAAGAAGCAACCTGAATGAAAGAGAACGGTTCCAAGACTCCAGGCATTTGCGGACACCTCCACCGCTAGCTGCAGCTTCTGATCCTATCGATAGAGCGAACCGGAAGCTGCTGGGGCCAACTTTTGCTCCAGTGTTCGCTGCATGCAGCTTTCGCTCCTTTGTATCTTTCATCACACAGGTGGCCTCCTGGCTTTACTACTAGGGGCCTTGCTCCTAGTAGCGATGCCAGGAGCCCCTAGTAGCTTCTTGTTACTAGTAGTAAGGCCAGGAGCCCCTAGTAGCGTCCTTGTTGTTTTTCAACCAAAAGCCGATCCAAGAGATGAGGCTGTTGAGGCTGTTGATTCTCCAAGAGATGAGACTGTCAAATGACGGCTCCTGCGAGGCACCCCGCGGCGGTTTCTTCCCCTGGTGGTTCGAAGCATCAAAAAGGACCACAGAAGAATATGCCACATCTTTTCTTCTCATTCCTTTCTCGTTCCTTTCGATTCATCTGTGGAAAGATGTGCTCTTCATTATGCTGCCCCTTGCTACTAGGAACAAGAAGCTACCAGGGGCTCCTGGCATTGCTACTAGGAGCAAGGACGCTGCTAGTAGCTCCTGGCCTTACTACCAGGAGCAAGGACGCTACTAGGGGCTCCTGGCATCGCTACTCGTAACAAGAAGCTACTTGGATCCCGTCGACTGTCCCGATCGCCTGTCGACTCGTGGAACGCTTCGGAGTTCGAAGCCTCCCACGCACGCTTCGATGCAACACTCGTGCACAAGCCTCTACAACACGAGCGTTACGGGTTCTTCCTTTGTTCTAACTAGTAACAAGGGCATTACTACTAGTAGCTAGAAGCTACTAGTAACAAGGGCATCGCTACTAGTAACAAGGGCATTACTACTAGTGTCTTTCTTGATGTGGCATTCCTACTAGTGTTTTACTACTAGCAAGAAGCTACACCGCATGATTCAAGCTTCACCTCAACTCTGCAGGTGACGGCAGTTGCTCTGGAGCAGGAGCGGCCTCGGAAGCTTGTTGTTTGCGCAAATCAAGAAAGACACTAGTAAGTCCTTGCTCCTAGAAGTATGGCCAGGAGCCCCTAGTAGCGTCCTTGCTCCTAGTAGCGATGCCCTTTGCTCCTAGTAGCTTCTTGTTCCTAGTAATGCCCTTGTTACTAGTAGCGATGCCCTTGTTGCTAGTAGCTTCTGTTCTTGCATTCAATCACTATGTCATCTGCGTAGCAACACGACTATAGCCTAATTCATCGGCAGCCGTAGTCGTTTGATGACAATCGTAGTGTGTGGCAATCGTGTTCAGCAAGTACACTTGCCCCAAAGGTGCGCACATGTCTGCTGTCGTATAATTTGTGACTGCAAAATGCTGTCATGCACTGAATGTAAGCATGGAATTACTAATTGAAAAAGAAACTGTGCTACGGGCACCTACAGAAACAAGCTGCACTGTTGCCGGTGTGCATTCACCCCTGAGGAATTCACGACTACTTTTTCTGGCCTCAGTTTCAAGCAAAGGAATTGTCATCGTTTAGGTTTCCACTCTGACTTATTCCATTTGGAATGTTGAAAAAGCCCCTGTGACTCTGGAGAATAACTGGGTAACTGCCTGCCTTATAAGCACATCTGAAATATGCATCACGATGACGCAACAAAAGACCGGATTCTTTCACTTGCCCACAAAAAAAAACGAAAGGAACTGCTGAAACTGTGGAGCTGCTTCTTGCCACATGGAAACCTCCTTTAATAAGGCCCCGTTTAAAGGGTGCCTCATTCAAGGAACCTAAGAACACCGTCCTTTCTTCATCTTTTCTTCCCTTTTGAACTTTTGTCTTCCCTATCTTCATCTTGGCGATCGGGGCTGTTCACTCGGTTGGGGTGAAGGGTTTTTCACCGCCTCTCGCAGCTCTCTCAGCTCCCCACGTTCGAACCTGGATTTGGGTCTTCAAAGTGCTTCAACCAATTCAACCAAATTTAAGGATTTTGTTGGATGTTGTTTCTTCAAGTGTTTCCCTTTAAAAGGTCCTGTTAAAAAAAAATAAAAATAAATAAATAAAAAATAAAAATAAAAACACTCCCTTCGCTCCCTCTGCTTCGCTCCCTAAAGTCGAACTGACCCGCTGGACCTGTCGATCTTCATTTCGCATTCGAGCGCGCTCGAGCTCCTCCAGCGTCGAACAAATGGCAACATTTCAACACGTTCCACCTAGTCTGTCAACGGATTCTAGACGTACACGGACTTAACCTTTGCCAACCCTTCCTGCAAATTGAGGAGCTTGGACCTCCACAATTTTGAGAAGTCCTCATATAAGAAAGCTAAAAAGCGGCTTGCCTAGCCGAGCGCTTGCTTAAAGAAATGCTCATCAAGGCCTCTCTCATATTTCAAGGTCTCTCCTGCAGAATGGCCTCTTTGGAAGGAGGCAAAGCTATAGGTGTTCCTGGGAGAGTTTCTTGTGTGCCACACTGCTCCATTGAACCTACGACTGAGGGGAACAGTCCTGTTGGTCACACAGCACTAAAGGTCCAACAAACTCCAAATGTTGGAATCGGATAGAACACAGCGCCCTCTGCACTTTGATATGCAATCAGTTTTGATGTTCGGAATGAGGCAAGCAACGTGACAGGGTGCACCTCCGTGAATGTCTCGGGCAAAACAAAATACCAGGCACCGAACCAGCTTCAAGCGATATCTGGGAGCCTCAAAACAAGGCAGCCAGGGTTCTTGAGTTCCGAACTTCACAAGGTGGCAATGTACGCTGGAGGGCAGCCATCGCTTCTAGGTTGGAGGTCTTGTGGTCGTCCCAAATGTTCGCCCGAAACCCCGGTTGCAAACGACCTGCCTTCGCTGGTGTGCGGCCTGGTGGCCATGACACTACTACACACATATTTCTTTCCAAACATCGAACCTACGCTACTAGTAACAGGTGCATCGCTACTAGTAACAGGTGCCACGCTAGTAGTAACAGGTGCCTTACTACTAGTAACAAGAAAAAAGTCTTACCTCAAAACATCTCTTCATTCCTTCTCATTGAAAATGATCTGAGATAACGGAGTGAAAGTCGCTGCATTCAGGTGTGTTTTTTCCACCAAGCCACCCATCAGTCAAATTGCAGGCTTGCTTGGGTAATGCATTCTGAATGGCCGTGCATCTTTATGCACAAACACCCAAAACACTGAGAATTCCATCCTCAGTGCTTGCCTTGAAGTAGCTTACAAGTTAGCAAGACGAGGACTTTGCACTCAAAGAGCCAATGACCATTGACCAGAATCTGCAAGTAAGAGCTGACTTCGAAAGCTGCGCTGGGGCTTTTGAGAGTGTTGCATATATATATATATATATACATACATACATATATATATATTGTTCCTGAGTTCAGCGTATTAAGAAGACCTGACACTGTTGGTTTACCTGGCCAAAAGGTCAAGTGCTCCGGGCCCTTACAAGTTACGACAGTTACAAATTGCAAGCAGAAGCCGTGCGAGCAAGCGATGTCTTTACAGCCTTTGGCTGCAAACTTCGGGACGCATGCAGCATCTAGCTGTACACTTTCAAATTAACAAAACTGGAAGTCGAAAAGCAGCTTGGCTGCAGTCAAACTTTTAAATGAGGAGTGATTGCCCCGAGATTGATTGTGTCAGTGAGCCTTGGCGCACCTCCCATTAAATTGGAAGGCAATCAAGCTCCTTTCAACCAAACCGGCTGAAGAGACACCGATTTCCCTCAGGGATTCAAGCCCAGCAACGACCACCAGGCAAGCAAAAGGGGGAACACCTAGCAAGAAGGAAACCATGTTGAAGTCTGCACCGTAGAAGTTTCATCATGCTCCAAGCAAAAGAAAAACCGGGTGGCTTAGATAACATTCAAACCAAGCAATCTCTTGCAGCCCCGGCACTGCCAAATACCCAATCAGCGCATTGCCTAGCAAGCAAGCCACGAAATGCCGCTCCTTGACAATGTCACCTTGGTCTGACAGTGTTGCATTTGCTTGAGTTTTTAATGGGTTTGTCTGCGAGTGTGTTGCAAGCAAAGCTCCCTCCCTATTTCTCCTGTAGATCAAAGTATGAGGAAGAACTAGACACTTCGCAAAACACAAAGGCCTGAAGAAATGTGCTTTCAAGCAGCGAGAAATGCTGAGAGCAATGAGAAAGGGAGCATTTTGATATGGCAGTAAAGTACAAGAAGGCATCGCTGCTACCTCAGCCACAAGGACAGAATAAGCCCTGCCACCAAAACATAATGTGTCCAATTTGAACGGAAACTCATTCCTCTAAGGTCCCGGCAATCATGGCACCCAACCGCGGCTCAATACCCGCACCTGCATCAAGAGCAGTTGGGGTGTAATCTGCTAGTCCGAATGTGGCTCAACTATCACTAAGAAAGTGTATAGTCATATACATATACATAGACATACATATATATATATATGTATGTATCCTTGAAAAAATAGAGGCACTGTATCGTTTAAGCCTCCTCGCATTAGCACAAGTTTAAATCAAGCTGACTTTCCGCTCGGGAGCTCTTCCAACAGTCAGTGGCAGCTGACAGTGCCTGCTAGGCCCCTGCCCGGGCAAAGCTCTGGTACCAGCAAAGCCACTGGTACTGCCACATTACAAAGCATCAATGGCATCCCCGCCAAAAACCTCGTCGGACGAACTGCGTTCGATATGGGATCAGTTAGATTCGTATGGGACAACTAGAGAATTGTTCCCTAGAGTTTGGAGCAAGACCTGTGGTAGAACGATGAAAAACTATTCAAATCTGAATTCTGGAGATCTTGGATTGCTCTTGAGTTAAAGTACACACCCCAAACCACACTGAACGTGTCTAGCGGTTGTATTTCTTAAGGGAAGTTTCTCCTCCACCGCTGAGGAGCAGGGAAGAGCCTGAGCTTTCCTCATGTGGTTCCAAGTGAAGCTCTCTCTGGAAGTGTCAGCTTCTAGCTCTCAGCCAATGCTTCTGTACTGCACAAGACAAAGGAAAACCCCCGCTGGCTTTTGCTTGGATTCCCAAACTCCGCCATGGCACAGCATGGTCAACCTCAAGACTCCAGCAGGTGCCACGGACACTGCTGTATCTGCGGCATGTGAGAGCGCAGGCCCGGCATGGGGAGCTGCATTGAGCAAAGGCGCCAAGGTTTCGAGGCTGGCGGTCTTGGTCGTGGATGAAGGGAAGCCACAGAGAAAGTTCCGCATCGATCATCGGTCCGCTACAGTAGGATTTGTACAAGTTTTTATCTTTATACTTTTGGTTAAGCCCCGGGGGGGTTGGCCGAGGTAGGAGGTAGTAGCTAGGTAGCTAGTAGAAGCAAACAGGAGTCGGTAGTAGCTTAAGTAGCTACTACCTAGGACGCAGGATAGCTCACGACTAATGATTTGGTTGGCCTCCAACCTTCTGGCTATACTTGACACGCAAAGGGGCTCCAAAGCAGAAAAGTTGTAGGAAAATCATTGGAAGTTTTGGCTGCACAGCCTGCTCTTAGTTCCCTGCATAAATGATCACTGGGAAATTGACTTGCTTCAACTTCTCGAAAGCTATCCTTGGAAAAACCATCTCAGGCAACATGCAAGCAAATCGGGCAGTCTCGTTTTGTCTGACTTTTATGACATGCACCAACATGCCTCATATGTAGAGCATTGGCAGCTGCTCAAAGGTCCTGGAATATCGAATCGATCCAATGCCAGGCATCAGGTTGGTGACAGGGCAGAACAGCACCAGAACAGCCACCAAGCTGATCGTTGTCGGGTGGACGTGGTGCAACACGTCGGTCGACCACATCACCAAGCACAAAGCCTTGGCTTCCACGGAAGACTTGGTCATTTCAGCTTGTGACTAATCATGAGCAATCCATTCTAGCTTATGACACATTCTGCACTCCCAAAGTTCTAGTAGATAGCAAGCAAACTCGGTTTGTTCGGGTGTGGCACGTGTGAACCCTGGAGTCCTGTGCGGAAACATGAGGCCTATAAGCCTGTCCTCTGTTTTCGACAACCCAAGCGTTTAATTCTTACTGAGGTGTATGTGGGCTTTGGTTGCATCGAGTGTGTGGCAACAAGACCACAGCCAAATGCACGTTGCATTCCGTGTGTGGCAACAAGGCTATAGCCAAAAAGTTCTGATCTTGTGTTGATTACAGTGTTGATCCCTAAATCCAAGGGGATGAAAGTGCATGAAGCGCGACCAGGACAAACCACAAGACCCAATCAGACCAACTCACGATACCAACATATTGACCAACGGACTGACCAACAGAGACACAAGACCTCCCAAGAGACAAACGGACCTGAAGCTTGTTCAATGCCTCAGATCATGTTTAATTAAAGTGTTTCACAATTCAAAACCAGCCCTTTCCTGCCTGCAGGCTTCCGAATGTCTGCATAAGCTTGCTCTCTGACCGAACACTCACTGCAGGCTAGCGTTTGCACATTGTTGCCTATCCTTCCTTGTTTGACACAATTTCTGTGACCGCATCTTTTTCACTACAGCTTGCCCGCATCCCCAGATCACACCATGCTATTCCTTCCCGTCAAGACACAAAAACCCACAGGATACAACGCTCGGTGCCGATGAGATGGACAGCCTCTGCAGCGTCCTCTGCCTCGCTTTGGAATTTGGAATAAGGCTTGGATTCACCACGAGACGGTGCAATCAATACTTGCAGGTGTTTCATTCGACACTGATTAATCGCCCATGACACCAGAACGTAGCCTGCCGTTGGACGTGTTTGGTTCCAAAGGGATTGATTGTAGTGTTGGATAAACACACGACCTGGCTCGATGGGAAATTTTCTGCTTGAATCTTTCGCCACCATGCCCTCATGACCCTCATGCCTCATCCTCCGGGCAGCTTGGATACAGCTCACCTGCATCGCAAAGCGGGAGGACAAGGGATGTGGACGAAGCTGTTGTTTTTGGATACCATCCGGCAAGACTCCTTGTAACTGGCTGAAGCGCAAAACTTGAATGCGAAGCTTCGAGAACCTGAGAAGAGGGACCAAAGCCAGCAAAAGAGCGCCGGCCCACAACTACGGTGCAGGGAGACATTTTTTTGTGCATCGAGCACGACCACCCACCGAGCTGCACCTGCATAGGCGGCTGGCGGAAAAAGTGAAAGGATAAGGGACGCACAGGAGGAAGAGTCGGAGTGGCTCGAGAGGGGCTGCCGGCAGAGGTCGCCATATGGCGTTTGGAGGTGCCCGGTCGCAAAAGGCAAAGTCGACAGGAAGAAGTGGATCGAGAAAAACCGAAAGTTGGCACCGCCGCCTGGGTGCCAAAGATGTCTATGAGAGCACAACAACTGTAGCGCCAAAAGTGGCGAGGGCGTCCTGGAGTCGGCCCGTTCGTGCTTGGGGCTTCCTTTGGCACCCCCACCTAAGTGCCAAAAGTCGCCTCGCAACATCGAGCGAGCACGGCGCCGAAGACGAACGCTACCGTTCGTCGTTAGACGTTTCGTACTTCGTTACTTCGGCATAGCTGTCCATCTTATGACATCGCGAGCATCATGCCTGCAGTCGCACTGTCCGAATCCTTCCTTTCTCAGTCAGACATTGGGACCCACCGAGGTGCCAAAAATGGTCTCGGAACCTCAAGATCACACAGCGCCAAAGTCCAGGACTGTTCTGAAGAGTGCTTGCCAAAGTAGAATGGTTGGGTTGTCGCTCTGTAAACTTGATAATGCAAGTGGTGCTGAGCTGTTTCACGTGCATCATCTGCATCAGGGCACCTTAGACTAGGCCCCACCAAAACCGCTTGCCCTGTCTCCCCCGCGCCGATTGCTCACTAAATAACTTCAGCCTAGCCGACAGGCTAGGCTGAAGCAAGTAATGTACCTGCCAACCACCTTACTTTCGATACTTCCTTCTCACTTTCGATTGCCTGTCTTCTTACTGGAACTTTCGGTCTTGGGCTTACCCCCTCAAACTACTCTGAATGCCCCTGTACCCAACAAGAGCATGCAAAGTGAAACTTCTGTTTAAGAACAAAGATGCTTCTGAGCCTTTGTTCTCGAAACACGTACCACCATCCGGCTTGCCCTATGCAGCTGTGTTGCCCCTGCCTCTCTCGTTCCTGCTAAAGACCAGCACCACGGCAGTGTTCCCCAAGATGCTCACGGCCCAAAACACAGGTGCCATTCCTAGGGGGACGACACACGATGTCTATCTCCGGCACTGCCGGATTCCAACCTTCGGCACTCGTAGCAACTTTTGAAGTGACAGAATCCACTTTGAGCTTGAGGCGTTCCAAAACACCTGGACTGAGTTGAAGTCGTGGATGCAGATGCAGAGTCTCTGGTAGACGTGATCGAATAATGCCAAGATGGATGAGATAGATCTTTCTTGAGACAAGATGCGGACAAACCAAAAGCCCCAGGTGATCTCAATATCACAGTGCTGCAAGCCGCTAACAGCAATGATATTTGGAAGCCCGCCAGTCAAAACAGCAGCACCACAATGGTTCGTACCTTATCACTCAACAAATATACAAGCATCGGCATGGACCAGTGTGACATTCCACACCCTGCTGCTGTGCTGGTGGAGTTGCTTATGACCAAGGCAATCATCACGGCAGAGGCACGTCGACTGAGAGGCTCTAAGTGCAGCTGCCCTGATGTGCATAACGAGGAAAGTACAGAAATGTCTGTGCCAAATCAGGTGAAGAAGTATTCCCATGTTCAGGGCATGATTTCTGGGTAGAGGCTGACAGACTTAGCTTAGCAGTCTTCATCCCCATTCATCATTGCCTATGATGCTGCGGGCAATCGGCACCACCAGCTGACAGCGGACCACCTGAAGCAAGCTGCAACCGTTGTTTGGCACCTGTTGAACCTTCAAATCTGATGGAAAAAAACAGTGTGAAAATCCATGATGCGTTGATACAACGCGTTGTATATACATGCTTGAAGTTGTGAGCCCTCTCAAGAAGGAAATACTGAGTACATCTCACGCGGCAAGTATGTCCCTGTTGTCCTGCCTGAGACGGCACACACAGTGCTAGTAGCCCGCCGACCATGTTCCTGAACAGACTCATATCAAATAGCAATGGCCTCCAACCTAATAGCAATGGCCTCCAACCTAAAAGCATGAATGAACAAGTGCATGAAAGCTATGATGTGTCCTTCAAAGCTCAACGTTGCCACCTGTGATGTCCCCTGAAAAGACGCTTGCCCAGACACAATCGCAGCACCAGCCACGGCCAGGTAGGTTTCTTTAGACACAGCACTTGAGCTATTCGCTGGCTGATGCCTGGTGATGAAAGCGAGTCACAACTGCGCCAGTTCCAATTCACAAAGCATGGGACAATGGGCCAGTGACTCGCAAACATAGGACATAGGTAAAGCTCTGAACAGAACGTGAAGGCTGTCCGGATCTGACCTTCCCTTTACGTTCGTGTCCAAGCCATTCAAACAACGGTTTCCTCCTCCTCCTCAGGTGCAGTTGTTTGTACCAGTCTGAAACCTTGAGATCAGAGTTGACATGGAGTGACGAGTTCAAAAGTGCCAAACCATTGAAGAAGCCTGAGATCTGTGACTCTCTGGTGTCTCAACAGATCCAACAAGTCTCGCCCAGCTACGAGTCTCTGTGAGCGCCAAGCTCATTGCCATGCCACAGAAGATCAGCCAAATACCTTCGGCGACAGAACACCGTTTCATTTTGCGCTGTTTGCACATCATGCATATGGTTTGCTGCAGAACTTCCACAGAAAGAACCCATGAGGCCACACTGGACTTCACAGCTTTTTCAACTGAGTCAGCTAGTTGGAGTGGGTCCCTCAAACAAAGGTCCCTCAAAGGAACCATTAAAAATGTCGATCTCTCAGCATGCAGGAGAGCCCCCTGTGCCCAAGACCCGTTCCTTAGTCCCCTGAGCCTTCTTGACACATGCCTCTCCATGCATCTGCCCAATCCATCGCACCTGGCCAGAAAATAGATGCTGAAGCATCCAATCGTCTTCAAGTATACCATACAATGAGCAATGGGATTCACAAGTTGGTGAACCCTGATAGAGTTGAGCTCTCAAGCAAAAGAACTGGTGCCGAAGGTCAGAAATGAATAAGGTGGTCACGGTTAAAACTCCAGAAAAGAAAACAAAATGGATCTTCAACCAACCATCAACCTGAGCAAAGCTGATGGCAGTTTTGCAAGAGCTCAAGTCACCCCTTGCCCTGAATTCGCTAAAAGCCTTCGTTTTGAGTCCATAGCAAACCCACATATACAGCCTGTGATAGTCACCAGAGCCAGGAAAGCGAGGCTGGTGTATTCGATGGGAGTTCTTCCCGGCTGTGCAGACCAGCCAACAATTGCAAAGGAACAAAGCGCCTCAAGTGGCATGTGCGGGAAGATTGCGCCCTGTGTATGTTCGAGAACTTGAGGTTGGCCAAAAAAATATCATCAATGCTGTTTCCTTTACAGACTCTCCAGACTTCTTCGTTTAATCCAAAACAAGAGAACTGCTACTACCACAAACAAGTGTAATTCTCTTGAGAGTTCGCAAAGTGGCAATGGCTCTCGCATCCTCAAATCCCAGAGATAGGGAGGATGCAAACACCACTGGCAAAAGGACTATCCATGCCACGAAGAGAACTTGTCGAAGTGGGAGGTATCCCCCGCAAACTCCAGGGCAGTGCAATGAAAGCTTTGCCAAAAACAACTTACGCTTGATTGATACTTTCAAAAAGGCTGAAGACTGCATGTTCAATCCGGTGCAAAAATACTCTTATCCGTAGCAGCACTCCAATTCAAAACTATGCCAATGATCAATGTCAGTGGTTGTCAATGATACTAAAGTTACACAGAAAACAGCAAAGTACAGGCAAAGGACAATGGTAATGAACAACAGCCCCACTCTGCCTGACGATGCAGGAAGTGCGGCGTTAGGGCCCTCTATTTGCATCGTGAAAGGATACGGTGCTGTACTCAACAAAGCCTTCATGTCGCAAACATGTTTCTTGTCCCCTACCCTTTGGAGCCAACTCAATCTTGGTCACTTGGGGTGATCGATACAAGACGAGTCAAGGAGATTCTTGTCTAAGTGTCACAGTTCTACCTTTGTCATAAGTCTAAAGCGCTCGAAGCTCGCAGCTGCATATACAAAACACTCTGATGCAACCCTCGCAAACAAGTGGCACAGTCACACACACAAGCTTGCATGTGGCCAAACTTGAGAAGAGGTTAGCTTCAAGTGAAATCAAGCTCGGACCCTAAAACATGTACGTCTCCAGGCAGCCTCTCCAGAAGGCTGCCGGCGCTGCTACTGCGGACCACGCCTCAAGAAGCAAACGACAAAACTTGGATATCAGGACCAATCAGCTCCTTTCAGGATTCTGTCGGGGTCCAATGGGTCCATGGAACTACAAAACCTGAAAAAACGGAACTACAATCCGATTGATGCATCTAAACAATCCTAAAGACTTGAATCCGGACAGAACAGGAAGGAGTTTTCTTTTTAAACACCAGAGAGGCCTTGACACAAGACGAGCCAGGGGGTTGAAAGATTCCAACCTCCGGTTTCGTCACTCCCAAGGTGTTTCGCGCCTTGGTAGCAGAGCTGTTCCACCAGGCCACTCCGGCCACTTCGCCGCGTCGCACGCTCCTTCAAGGCCGCTCGCAGCTGACGAGCTGCGCCCAAAGTCGGCGCGCTGGGGAGCGGCGAGATCGACACCGCCTGGCCAGTCGGATTCCGTAGGTTCCGTCGGATTTTGGGAGAGTCCCGGTGAGAGTGCTTAGACATACATTAGTCCCTACGAGCCAAAAAGAGCAAAAAGTGTCTGAAGCAAGAAATCAAAAGAATATTTGGAGTTTGGAGCTGTTAGCGCCTGAGATCACAGAATTCAACCCCCGTGCAACTACAAGGAGCCGCAAGTCTAAGACTTACCGAAGAATTTCAGAATGTTTCCCTGGATGTTCGATGGTGGGACTGACGGGTTACTTCCAACCTTAGTATGGCATCTAGAGGGGTTCTTCCTTACACGGACAGTTGGTTCGGTCGTCATGTCTACTGGCAGCCTGTATCCCGAAGCTCGAGGAACAAAATGCACTAACGTCAGATTGCACTTCGCCTCCTCTGGTGTGGCCTCTCGCGGCAAGCCACCACAGCCGAAAAGGCATCCGATTTTGATTGGCCCCAAGGTCCTCAGCCGAAAGGGCTTCAACATTGACCAATCTCAGACCAATTTCCCATCACTTTAGAGAAGGGTCTTGGACTTGGGTGACGAGGAAACGTTTTAAGCCACACTTCTTCAGAATCCCTTGTCAGGAAAGAATTTGCCTGGTCCTCGTCTAGTCTATGTTGACGACTCTAAAATAATGGAGAAGACTGTCTGTTTTAACTCCAAGCCATTTGGAAGATCAACAAGCAGGCCACTTCAAAAACCATCTGAACGTATCAGACAGTCCCCCACTTCAACCCATCCATAGCAACAAAACTTCATCCAATTCCCAGCCTCTTGCGCTGCCGCGGCCGCCCACGTCGGGGAGGCTCGTTCTCCTGCCTGAGAAGGGCTGCACGTCAGACGGTGTGCTTGTTGGACAAAAGTATCCAGTAGACATGCTCAGAAGCTCCCTCTAATGGCGATGGCCTAATAGTAGCCTAATAGCGATGGCCTCCAAATATCCAGTAGACATGCTCACTGAAATATGTGGGGCATTTGGGTGTATTCAACTCCCACAGGAATACCGGAAAAAATACACCAAACACCTGGGAAGCATGTTTGGCGAAGTGTGTGCTTCTTCTCCCGCCTGCCAGGTAGCGAACCCGGGGACCATACTTCCGACAGCGCTAACGGTGTATTTCCGCTTTGGCTTTTCGCTCTCCTTCCGTACAAAGCGTGGGGCCCTTGGATCAACTCTACTGATTCTGATTTAACTTTGTCTAGCCAACACAAGCAAAGTTGCAGAACTTATGGCGAGACCTCAGCAGAATGGCTTCTTTGTAGTGTTCCTGCTCTCTAATGCACCGCCAGCTTCTGTCAGAATCCATGAATGCACTTCAACACGCTACGTGGAGCATCAGTCTCACCATTCTTCAGAGAAGCAGCAGCACTCGTCTCCTCCTAAAGAGCTTCCAGCGCCGTGCATCTGACTCCGTTGCCCATGTCAGCATTAGCCTCCATAGACATTCGCAAGGAAATGAAGAGAACGTCTCATGTCTGGGCATACACTCCATGATAGCAAACTTCACAATGCCCAGTTCGACAGTCTACACCAATGCCCGGCACTTGCTCTACTTCAGTCACTGCCTGTGCCAAGTTTCAGCACGATGGAGGCATTAAGCGACGTCTCAAAAAATAGCTTTCCAAACTCAAAGAGGGACTCGGAGCCAGGGCTCGCAGGGCGTGCGGGGATCGAGGGCTCAGAATGCAGTCTCTCTATTGCCCGACCAGAATGTAGTACTAATGTACCTTGCCGCATGTGGCAGTCTGAAGGTATTTAAGTCAAAGCAATACCTGGTGTCCTTTGTCGTGCAGACTGCACTGAAGACAAAGAAGTCAATACAAGCCTTGCTCAAGAGAAGAATCTTCTGCAGGAGCAGAACAAACAAACAAATACCCCTGTTACCTCTCGATATGACTCTGGAATTTGTGATCGATACCTACCGGGAGCCCTTTTTGAAGAAATTGATTGAAAGTGGATCGCGCTTTCCTCTATATCAGTCTTGGAAAGCTCAGAGTTCATAACAAAGATTGGCACAGGCACACAGCCACACACACTCTGATACAGTACCTCACGGTGAAGACTGCTTCTTTCTTCGCAACTGCAAGCGGCACCAAGAGATCTCCTGTCGTATCTATATATAGATGAACTATCGAATCCTCCAGGCACTATCGGTTCCCCACTAAAATCATCGTTTTTGGCCCAGCTGGGCCCTTTCTCCGAAACAGCACTTGACTTTTGGATCCCACTAACTGCCTTTCAGAGGACTGGCCCCAGGCCTGGAAGAGCCAATGAGGCTTCCGATCGGGAAAGACTTAAAAGATTCAAATGTAGACGCGTAGAGCACCACCCAGAAACTTGGCAAAGCACTGCACTTACAAATGTTCATTTGAACCGATTGCCACATGTTGGCACAGGATTGTCTTTCATCTGGATCTCAAAATGTCGACTGGTTTGAAGGGCACACTGTACAAGCCATTCGATAATGTTAGGATATATATATATATATATACCTGACACAAAGTGCCCAGAAGCCTGACATACCCTCATGTTGCTGGAATCCAGTATATGCAAAGAACAAGTTGGGGCTGGTTTGCGGTCCTATCATTTGATTTGGTGCAAAGCAGTGCTTCTATCACTGGTGAGCGATGCAACGCCAATGTGCATCAGAGTGTGTGTGTGTGTTTGTGTGCTGGATCTATAGCTTGACAAAATGATTCCAGCCACTGCCACAACACTTCAACCAGAATCTGACTTGCCAAAGCTTGTCAAAACAGCCAATTTACATCCACCACCTTAAAGCCTTACACACCCTGCACCAAGCTGATAAGACCATATGACGCTGCTTCGAGCGCTTCACGAGTCCACCGCTTCTTGGAGCATTTTGCGGCACTCCTCGCACCCTGGCACGTCTGCCACTTTTCTTCCTTTACATGACTACTATACTATACTGACATACTGATCTATTTTACCAACTACACTTCTGAATACATTGGGTACTACATCTTCACGTCGTGAGTTTCAAGCAATCGTGGTTTCACATCGCATCGAACCCTCCAGTGCAACAAGCCCACTTTCCCACCCATCTGGTCTACCCCGTCCCACCTGTCTCCCCTCCGCGCATGGACATGTCATAGGCCGTGAGCCCTTCGGAGTTCTTGGCCTGAAAAGAAGTCCAGTCCGAGCTAGGCAGTGGAATCTGAGAGACTTTGCAAAAGCAGTGGTTTCTCTTCGACTCTGAAACAACCCATGAAGCGAAATGGACAGGTTCCATCCTGACACTGAAAAACGATCCATGAGACGTTTTTCCTCAGGGAAAACTTCACACCGTACCGGGGGGACATGTTCCATTTCCGTCGGTCGTCACGATGCTCGGCAAAAACAGGGGACTTCAGACTCTTCAAAGATAGTAGAATCGACTGCCTTGGCGTCGGCCCCGGCATCCAAAAGCAACTTCACCTGAAACAGTGCATGAGCTGAATTCTCACAACGCTGTTACCCTGCAGCACACTCTTAAAGCTGACGTCCAACTTCAGTTCAAGTCCATCATGTGAATACGGCTGCAGGCACTTTCAGCTTGCAGACTGCTGACCAGAAAATCACACAGGGCCGCACCATGTCAGCAATCCCATTCGATGCTGCAGACATCAAAGGTGTACGCCTGAGCAGGTCAGGCTGGCAGCAACAGCAAAATCAAGAGTTGAAAATGAGCAACTGTCTGAACTTAGCGCTGTGAGTTCCAAGTCAGCCAAAGTAGTTTCAGATGTTGCTCATGCTCGTGTCCTCTTGTTCCTGTGAGACCCTGGCCCGGACTTGGAGGACAGGTTCATATCTGCTCCACCCTCAATCAGTGCTTCTGCAGCCTGGCGAAATGCTTTGATCAGATCAACTGTCAGCTGCCATGGCATACATGTCTGCTCGGGCCCGTCACAGCCTCCTCAACTGAACGTCAAGTTGCCGTACCTCCACTTGATCAGCTCGCACAGCGTATCGCAGGGCAGTCCAGCCATAGAGATCCTGCAAAAATTCAACAACCTGCAATTCAACCAAATTCAATGGAGGAGAAGACCAATCAAGGCGCAACTAGTCTCCCACTGCTTCATGAGGGTCTGCGTGGTAGACATTCTTTGTGACGGTTTAGTGGACTCTCAAAAAGACTTGAGCTGATTTTCCTCGCAGGATGCTTCACAGCAGTGATCTATTTGTTTTGGGACAATTGTGATTGCCTGGACAAAGAAATCAGCCCCCCTTCAAAACATCTTCAGATCCCAAATTGCAGCGATGCCTGGGCATCAAGCTTGGCTCCGTTCTTCACGTAGCCCTTGACCTCCTGGCGACAAGCGGCAAGCAAAGGGATTATTGTGAAGCATAGATATTGAAGCTTGCGAAGCATGACTTCTCCAAGGTAGCGCATCATATTTTCTGTCTATATAAAGGGTGAGAGATCACTGAGGGTCGCATTCATGTGTCAAAACTTCTTAACTAAGAAATTCCTCCTTTACGTGTCTCCTTTCCTTCTTGTAGCTTAGCCTCTTCGCAGAGAAAGCTGCCTGGTTACCCAACCCAGCAATATCTGGGCACATTCCACGTATACTTATATATATGTATGATTCTCGCTCATCACACTCTTTTCACGCCAGTGTGGTGTTCAAAGAACTGCGAGGAAAGATCGATGTCTGTAGGACCGATCTTCAACCGAGCACGAAGTCTTTACAGCGGCTTGCAAGCCTTGCCACACCCCATATCTGAAAGCTAAGCTAAAGTAAGCTAACCTCCCATAGCTGGAAGCAACACTGGCTAGTTAAGCCGTAGTTCAAAATTATTCGCCCTCGTTTGCACCTCCACATCAAGAAAGCATTTGGTGAGGCACCGACAAAAGCCATGTGGATATGTTTGCGCTTGCTTTGTGGCCCAGTTGCCTTTGGCATCCTGTCCACAGAGGACCACATGTTTCTCGCCAGTACGTTTGCAAAAACCGCGTTTTGTTCCCAAACAACGGTGTTCGCCAATGCTTTCCGGTTGAATGTTCACACCCAGCAGGGACGTGGGTTTCTTCCACGGCGCTCCAAACATGCACATCTCAAAAAACACGCGTTGTGTCCTTCGACGTCGACCCAGGTTCAACACTGGAGGGCACAACCAGATTCGGGATCTGGCTGGGTTTTCTAGTGTACATGGGATATACAAGGCCAAGGCTAAGTGCATAATGAAGACTGAAAAACGCATGTAAAGGTTGCCTTCTGACACCTTCGTCTGGTCAGAAGGTGAAAGGCCAGGCAATCCCATGACATGGTCATCGCTCCTCAAAGGTCTCGGACCCGGGGCCTATCACGAGCTCTAGAAAAGGTATTGCGCGGAGTTCCCAAATTGCATGCCCGGATCAAGCCCGAGCGAAACCAGCCAGCAATCAACATGCGATTTTTGCTTTTCTGGCGATCATACTGTTCTCCCAGGCACCAATCCCACAGCAGCACTGGCCAAAAGTTTTGACGCGCTATTGTTCTGCCCAAGTTGCCACTGCCAGAAAAGAGTTCAAGGAAAACCATGGGTTTCAAGCTTGAAGGCACACCACGTTCTAGCGCACCCTTCGCCACACACTGGGCATGGCGGCGGCCATGTTCATGGCCCTGTCTTGAACTTCTTTTGGAAGGGATCCGAAAATCTGAGTGAGTCGGGCCCCTTTTTGATACTTCCACACGGAGGCTTGACTTTTCCACCTTCCTCTCTGTTGTATGGCTGCTAGATCTCTAAAATTTCCCACAAAATCGTGGGAAGCTCCGCCATGTCTGAACCTGTATGGATGGATCCTGAAGAAAATGGTTCAGATCGACGTTGTCGTGATTGAAAATCAACTGGCTCTTGCTCAACCGACCGTTGCTGCAAAATCTTCTGAGAGCCTCGCCGAAGCCCTGATGATAACTGAGGTCTAACTGCAGTGATTCGTCGAACTCCAGTCTTTGAAGCTACTCCTGCCCCCTCCGGACGCAAGACAACTGTCCAATGCCTGTAGTTTCCCTGGCCCTTCAGGACAGGTGGGACCACATCCCTGGCGCTCAGCCTCAGGCCTTCGCTTGGCCTCAAATACAATGCGAACATCAGCCCCATGTGAAGCGCCAGGCCCATCAGTCCTTTGTCGATTGGCTTCTGAATGAGAAGCGAGGTCACTTCCCAAGGAACTGGCAATCGGGAACGCTGGGGGGCCATCTTTCTCCAGCCCTTCAAGGATTGCTTCACCTGAGGCAGCTTTTGCATTGCAGGCGACTTCAAACAAATGTTGAAAAACACAACAGCTGCTATCAAATACTCGCCCGCGCTCACATCCTCGCCATCGTGGTAAAGGTTGTCCAGCTCTCGGCTCAGGATAGTGTCCACTGTAGTTGTGGCCTTCAGTTTTCCCTTGCAGGTCAGCAACTTCTGTTTCACCGAGCTCCAGCAACGCTTGTAACGAGATAGGCACTCTTTGGACACTGACGCCAACTGCAGTGACGTCATGCCTTCTAGAGGATCTGGTCGCACGTCCATGCGATTGACTGCCCTCATCTTCTTTTTGGCACTCCGACTGGTTGCAGTGTTTGCCAGTCTCATTTCCTCTTGCTGTATTGGTTTGCATGCCACGGGCCTTGTGGTCCCGGCTTCCTTTTTCAAGCTCTTGCGCACCTTGGTGGTTGTCTTCGGAAACCCATTCCACCGTAGCGGCTGTTGTAGGATGTTGTCCCGGAAGATCACCATGGCCCAAAAACCGCTTAGGCTTGCTAGGAGTCCAAATGCCACGTGAAGGGTTGTCTGCAGGGTTCCACTCACTTGGAATCCATCTGTTGTTGAAATAGGTGCCACTGGCCAAACTAAGTGCCCCAATCTGTGTGCACGCCTGTCTCAAATGAAAAGTCGATGCCCTTCCCCTTGAAATTGCACAGGCAGCGGTCAGGCTGTCTGATAAAATCAAATGACGGCAACCAAAACTCGACCGAGAACGAAGTATGTGCTTGGCTGCGAAGAGTACTGAGCGGCCTTCAAAGACCGGCAACGTTCCCCCCTTTCTCCAACAATACTTAGCTATGGTGCGCCACTCCCTGTCAACAACAAATGGAACATTTACAAACTTTTGTATATATTGTGTATCCCCAACGACATCCCCAACAACGAGCAGCTCGTCTCCGACCGAACCGTCAACAAGCGCAGACTGTTCATGCAAAATCTGTTGTCGTGGATTGGCTCCGGATGGGTCTTTGAATCGCCACCGTTCATTGTATTGTCCAAGTGATCTGACAGTGTCCAGTGGCATGTGTGCAAGTAACCCCCATACCATATTCAGAGGCATCAACAGCATAAACACGGGTTTTCCAGGGTGCTTTCAGATCCCGAAAAATCATGGGAATGACACCATCAAAAATCTGAAGTTCTCTTCGCACACTCCTCCACAAAACAACTTCTTCACGGACCCACCTGTATTTTTGAATGAACGCATAAACACTCCCAAAGATTGAAAAACACTCACGTCTCCCCAAACTCAAGAAGCTGCAGTGACCAATCAACTTTTCCATCACGGAACCTGTGCATCGTCCGCGAGCAAGAACTTGTCGAAGTGCTAGCCGTACCTTCCAGGCTCTTGACCTGGAGGGCATGAACAAAGCATCGGTTGTCAACTCCCAGCCCAGCACCTTGCCGCCCTTCTCACATTCCTCTTCATGCACCTGCAGTCCAGCTTCCTTGAGCTTTTTTGTAGCTCTGTGATAGGTGGACAGAACTCTCTGCTCATCACTGCCAACCACTATCATGTTGTCGACATACTGTGTGTGGCAGCAAGAAGTATCTGGGGGGCGGTCGTCGATCGCGTATTCGGTCTTTCTCCAGCAACCCTGCCTTTTCTGCTAAGGATTCATGAATGCTCTGACAAAGATGAAGAGCCCAGGTCCAGCCCATTGCAACCGCAGCCAACCGAGGCGTCAGTCTCACCCACGGGTCCACATGCCTCCCGTCGATGGTGGTGACGCCAACGTCCCGCGCCTTCACAGGCGTGAGAGTGAAGTAATCCCTCAATTGTACTGGCATGGCCAGATGGTAGAAGGCGTCCTTCAAGTCGGCCTGGGCCAAAGTCACCTGTGCCTCCTTCTCAAACTCCAAAGCTCCCAGTCCGTCTCCGGTAGTGAGAGACACATGACTGTGTTCCTCAAAATGAGCGTTTGAACGGCGAGCATCCACAATGAGCCTCAACTTGCCAGACTTTTTGGTCACACAAAAGAAAGCTATCCTCTCCTTGCCCGGGGACAAACTGTAGTCTATCAAGTGTGAATCATGCAATTTCCTCAAGAACTGGCGATACACTCGGCCCTGCCGCAACAAAGGATCAGAATAGGGAGCTCTCACACCACAAGCCTCCAATTTGACCTTCGCCTTCTCCGGTGGCAGAACCTGATGCGAAACAAAATCGTTCACCTTCTGCTGACCGTCGCTGCCCCACAATGTACCCAGGTCAATAGGGACCCAACCAACCTCCAGCATGGAGACAGCTTCGATATTGAACGAGGCCAACGAACCCACGGGCTGGTCTTCACCGTATCCGTTGGCTGCCCGGAGCATCTTCAACGCCCCTGGGCCATCAAGATCACAGGGTGGTTTTCCCATGCCTGCAACCTTTTCCTGCGTGAATTCAACACAATCATGCTGCGCAGCTGCAACCCCATAGAGCTCCTCACTCTCGTCTAGGGGGCGTCTTCACCTTTGTTTTTCTTGCCGCCGGCCTTGCGGGCCAACTCTCTCTCTCTCTTCTCGAGCCTTCCTGAGGTTCTTGGCCAGGTTGGCGTCACGTTCAACCTCGGCGTTCACGTGGTCCAGAAGTTGAGGACAGATCATGAGAGTCGAAGCCTGACGAGTGATGCCTCCAAAAGTACTCTGTTCTTCCAGCGACAATCTCCCACCGACAGCCTTCGACTCGATCTCTCGAGCCCTCTCCGCATAGGCATACTCTATGGTCTGAATCCTACGGAAGACAACCTCCAGGCACAGATTATTGTACCCATCCAGCTGATCTGTCTGTAGGGCATGCTTTGCTATCATGCTCAACTGATAATGCTCTTGAACGCCCCACGCTGATGACTCTATCTTGCATAGCTGTCTGAAGCGTTCGTGGTGTCTTTCGAAACCAAGCCCCTCGACAACCAAGTATGAGATGCACCAACGACTTGTACGAGGTCCAGTCAAATTCCACTCAGTGGACACCTCCTCAAACTTCGAGGAGACATCCTTGAGTGAAGAGTCCGGCTTTCCAAGAGCATCATACTCCTGCCCAACAATGCGAGGATCATTGTCCGCTGCCTTCTGTAAGAACTTTTTGTGATGTCCACCGTCAACGCATTGCACAAAAATGGAGCTTCCATCCGGGAGCACATGCACAGCCTTTGCACCATCGACCTGAACTGCACCTACATGCTGGACAACATCCCCGAATTTGATGCCACGACAACGCTCTGCTGCCACCCAATACAATGTACCCGCAACCAATGTACCAGCCAAGCCCACTGGCGCAGCAGCCTGACCGTCACCAAGACCACGGGCAGTGCGTTCAGCCCCAAGCACTCTCTGTGCCTCCAGGCGAAGGGCTGCCATCTCCGGCGGGGTAAACACTGGAGGTGGATACACCTGGCCAAGATTCATCCCGGAAGAGTGTTTGGGGAGGGTTTGACTCTGATACCTATCAGGTCATCATTGAAAAGCGACAACTCCTCGTAGTGAACATCTTGGTCGGGAGTGACCACAACGTAATCATCATTTTGAATGTGAGCCACTACCAGCCTTTCATGCCACAGTTCGGGCCCAGCGACATCGTAACGAACCAGTACCTGTCTATTGAGAAGGGACATGCCGTTGTCCACGAGCTCGCACTTCCGCTAACTGTAGATGGGCCAAGGACTTTCGATCTTCCAAACTCGACGGGCTGCTCTCCTCTGATCTAGGCACGATTGGAGCCGAAACAGGCTTCCTTCCTCCGCACCAAGAATAGAGAACAACAATGAACCAACCGGTAATGGAGAACAATGTGAGCCCAACGGACAACCGCCAATGAAACTGTTGCTCAACAATGTATTGACTGCAATCCACCCGGCAATGCTCAACGCAACGATCACTGGCCACACTTGCCACCCTTCTCACAAGCAAGTCCTGATCCACCTGCGGACCAAACCACGAATGGAGTCCAGCCCCCAACAACGTGCAAACGAGGTGGCCAACTCCACTCCCGAAGGGAGCACCACCCATGGCACGCTCGCGCGCCGTGGCCTTTGTCTTGAGCATCATTCGATGCGGCGTTCCGAATTCCTTCACTAAATCAATCTTGTTTGAAAACTTCATATACACAATTAAAGTTGTCAATATTCAATAGACACTATGATGAAGGTTTATCAACATCTTTTGGGGGGGCAAACTCTAGCCCCAATAGGAGACAATGACAAAGACATGCACGGCCTCTACGTCACCTTTGTGTGCCGCCATCATCAGCGGCGTACTGCGAGAGGCTGGGCAAAACTAAAAGGGAAGAGTTCCAACTTCCAACACGAAAACATCAAAACATGGTTGTTCAGGTGCAAAGCAAAAGGGCTGAATAGAAGCAATCCATCTCTTATGGCAGACCTCATATTATACTTTAGATCTGATTGAGGGCACCTCCTCAGGTCTGCCATGATTCACGACAGGTCGCGGGCTGAGGAGATAGCGTGCCACCATCGCCCAGGGCTCCACTTTCGTCAAAACCGAGTGATGCTCTTGCCACACGAGAGCCTCAAGGCCGCCAGGCTCTGGGACATGAAGTAAAACACATGTTTTTTCCTTTTGCAGGGGGGTAGGCCGCTGAGAGGAAGAGATATAGGCTACTAGTTAGCTCTATTAGGTTCTAAACACCTTCCTAGTAACTGGACGCAGGATAGGTCACGCTTGCACTAATCACTAATCATCTGGTTCCTAGATTTTTGGGAAAACTCGATGCTGAAACACCTTGAAGCGTTCAACAACTTCAGAGGATCCCACGTGAAGTTGGTGTCACGAAGACTTGCTGCCACCTTTGAAGTGTGCGGTTTCTTTCTTCTGTGGTTTGGTGTTTCCATGACAAATCCATGGCGGTATCACTCCATGAAGTCGTGTTTGCGTTGTTCCACCACTCAAAACTCGAGGGCCGAACGCAACGTATGCAAGGAGAACAACCTGATCCCAACCCCTGAATCACGAAATGATATCTTGCTCCGGAAACCATCTCTCTGAATCACATTGATTCTGGATCCCTTGAAAACAAGTGTATCAAGAAAATACAAAAAAGGAACATAAACTAAACTGCCTTTATCTAGCTCATATTGGCATCCAAACTCCCTGGGGCTGTGGCACTGCACAGGCCTGATGGAAACTGGGCCCACCAGTACCAGTTAAAGCTCAATATAGACTTTGTCTTACTCAACCAAAAACACGCTTTGGCGAAAATGAGTACGAAAAAACTGGGTTTGTGGCGTCTGGGCTGCACTCTTGTCCTTGGTAAACTCTGGTGACCAAAGAAACGTTGTGCCAAATACCTGACATCGCTCAACTGGGCCGCCGGCATCGCTCAACAGCAGAGGTGCACCAGTGATTGCGCCGAACACACGGAGTGCGCCGTGTCGTCTTGAAACGTCTTCGGTGAGACCGGCAGAACTGGTGACGTCTTCGGTCCATCGACGCCCGGTTGAAACATCAAGGAAATAGGCACAAGATATAGCATTGTTCTGCGCACCCGGTGACCATTTTTCACCATTACACAACAACATGAAAAATCTCATTGGACTCTTTGGCTAAAAGCATATCGCACGCAAAATTGACGTGGGTTTGCAAACGGGAATATAGACGTACAGTTGAAAGCCATCCATTCGTTGTTCAAATAATATTGCCCCACCACAAGACAATTGGCACAAGTGGCACCCAAAGTAATCATAATGGTTTCGATGTGATTACTTAGTTTTGGCAGGCATCAAAAAACATGTGTTTAAACTCCAAAAATTTGGAACCTTCCCGGACCGCAAAAGCACGCCTCCATTGGGACGTCTCTTTAAAAATCGGGTATGAACGTCTTGTTCCACATAGTGTTTGCACAAGGCTCGCAGCCATCCATACAGAATATAGAAGAAATGTACAAATGGACATGCCGAAGTGAGACGAACAAAAAAAAATGTACGGACCAGCTTGTACAAGAAACATCCATGTAGGAGAAGGCCAGCAACGAAACAAGTGACGAAAACAGTAATGAACTGTAACACTCTGCAAAACGGCCCCATGCGCTTTTGAATGCTGCTGCTGCTGCGGCTGCTGTTGTTGGTTTGTGTCTGTCATTTGTTGTCATGAAACACACATGTGGCATGTGATTGAACGTGACCTTTCGAGTGGCCGCATAATGGAGCAAAGTTGTGTGAAAACATACACGTTGGGCGCACGTTTTTGCCACTTTCACGGAAGCGATTCCACCTCCACTCTGCCACGTCAAGCCACGCAGTGCTGGCAATGATGCTGTGGATGATGAGTGTGGCCGTGGGTGTTAACAATTACCAGGTCAACCAGAACGATGCCGTCTTCATGGGCATGATGAACATGGAGGGGCATGGAGATGTTTTTCCCTTCAACGCGGGTGAGGTCAAGGCTCTCACCACGAAGAAAAAATAACTATATAAAGAGAAGAGTCAAACGGGTTAAACAAAAAACAATGAAACCCAAGGTGCCCGGCTCTCAAATGATTTTGTGCAGGATGTAGAACCCTCTCCTGTAGAAAATGCAGTCTTGGTGTTTGGTAGCTCGATCCTTTTGAACCCAGCGCTACGCGGCGAAGTAAAGATAAGAACAAATACTACACATCTATACATGTCAGTGACCTAACAAAAGTTGACACGCCGCCTCAAAATGTGGTGCTCTAGCCATCATTTTGCTGTACGCATTCTATGGTTGGATCCCACTTCATCAAAGTGGTCAAAGGAAAGTCCATCCAACCAAAATTGTCCTATACATCAAGTATAGCCTGTTCCGGTGCTTCTGCACAATTTCAACAAAACTCTTTGTAAATTCATGTAAATTCATTGTAGTAACTGGTGGTTCAGTTGGTTCACCAGTACTTTTCGTAGTGCTCAACATCACGTGGTTCAGCTGTTGCAGGATCACCGCCGGTGCAGTTTTCCGTTTCAATTTTGGCATAGGTCTAGAGCATCAGAGCCAGAAGTCTTTGTTGAGAGTCAGGAGAAATATGAACAGATTTCATCCTATGAACAAGCGAAACAAGCAGGAGTCAATGAATTGTTCGACATTTTGCCCCAAGAACAACAATCGCATTTCGACAAAGAGACACGTCCTTTTCGTCCCTGGTTATAGGCACAGGTCGACGTTCTAAGAGCTCGCATAATATCTATCTCAAACAGTGTGCCCGAGCGTCGATGTTCCCAGAACACACTGTGGAAGTCGCGGTAGTATGAACGAATTTGTCGACTTGATCATCGAGCCCAACACTTCGGACTCTGTCCGTTGGGACTCCGAGACCGATTTGAGGGACAAAACCCCGATTGCGTATAAGAACAACCAATCAACACAGGTACACCGTGCCGGATTCCCAGAGGTCATGATCGGCATTCTCCATGCCAACGCGCAATTGTGTCGCAAGAAAAGCATGCCTAAGGCCTAAGATCGCCGCCTGTTCAGATTTATTGGGAACAGCGTGACAATGCATGTCGATTACCATCGATTACCTGACCGTTTTGAATTTTGGCCGTCAATCGATCACAAACAATGATGGGAGTTCGATGTGGACTCATCCACCACTACATCCGAAAGTATATGACCACGGTCAATCAGCGCTATACCAATCGAGAATTGAAGCGCCTTAGGATCAACGCATCAATTCACAGTTCTACTCCTGCTGATTTTGAAGCACGATGGATTTTCTAACACATGAAACACCGAGAACGTACGAACAACGTCGAGTATCACAAGTACCTTGAAGGTTTTCATCCTTTTGAGTTTGATTCCATATTCGGAGTGGTAATCTCATGGATCAGAAGGAACAGTCATCAACATATGTTTTGTCACAAGTACGCAGAGAGCGACCTTTCAAGTCCAGATCCAGGTGAACCGTACCAAAGCCTTATTTTCGAACCTGCTCTTGATGGCCGGACTGAACTGAGTGACAAAGATGGAGCAATTCGACCAGCTCCCAAGATCCCATACACCGTGGAATCTTGTGAACGTTTCAAACATTTGCCACACGAGACACTGTTGATTGGTGGAAATGACCAAAGCTGGCATTATCCCTTGCAAGTGACAATCAAGCACGCACATTCCGCCGCTACTCGCAGCTCCGATGCCTAAGAACTTGAACAAAGCATTCGAAGCATTCGATCTCACTTTCGTTAGGAACTGTAGATATATTCTGTACATAGACGACCGACAATTAAGAATTTTTGAAAAAGAGAATTATGAATTATAAAGGTCTTCTTTGTGTCAATTATCGAACAAGGTAATTTCATGCACAGAGGTCAAGAAAATTGTGTCTGTTTTGTGTTTCCTCTTTCTATGAACTAACCTGTGCACAGTCTCACACTTGATGTACATGCATGACTGATACATTTGGCTCAAGACTGAGAAAAGCCGCTTGCTTTCGCAGCGCGACTGCATTCGACTCGTGTCCGAGCATCGTGCGATTGGACCTCTCTCGAGACCGTGTTCTTTCCAGGGGAAATCCACTGCATTGCACTTCGTGTCACACCTCGGCCCCCCCTCGACCGCGGTCGAAGACCGAAGGACGACGACGAAGCGCGACGTCTTTCACGACTTTCTGCCGCGCGGATGGCAGCCATCTGTCGCAAGACAGCCATTGGCACAACCTCCTCAGAAGACCATCCGATCCTTGAAAGGATGGTGGATTGAGGAGGCGGATGAGATCGAAGGTGATTCAAGGTGGGGAAAATAAAGAGGATGTGATGGATATTAGGGACCTCGCAAAACCCACATTCAGGGCAAGTAGAAGGAACTGACGCGTCGCCGCCCTCAAAAAGCGCTGTGACCGCGGAGGTCAACCGCCGCAAACTACGGCGGTCATGTGGCTTGGCGGAAAATGAGGCCCGAAAAATCCCGTGGGGGAGGCAGTCCAACCGCAAGGCCTAACGACAGAATTGATCTGCGCAGTGGTCTCAGGATTCGTTTGCGGGGTCGATCCTGAAGTTGTCCCCACTGAACCGGGGCCTTCAAAAATCTGTAAGAGCCAGTTCCTCCCGAGGTTTCGGCGTCCGACCGTTAAAGAGGGAACCCCAAACAGCTTTGGAGTTCCCCAAAGAAACCGCCAAGACACGCTTCATGTTGAACGTGACAGGAAGGAACCCGACCCTTTCGAGGGTCGTTTTGACTTGAGATTGACTCCAACTCTTGGGGTGGACAAACCACGGTCGGGAGAACCTAAGGAAGCTCCAAACACATGGATAGTAGGGGATGAGGCAAAAACCGGCAGCACGGAGCCGTTCCTCCGCGGCCGGTGTGCGATGAAGGATTTGCGTCTTGGTAGGATTCGTACGGAGTCGGCCATGGGCCTCAAAGTCTTGCTACACCTGACGGTAAGCCATGAAACCTTCCAGTATAGAGGTGTAAGCGGTCCGATCGTCGATATAGGCAACATGATGAATCGCGTTTGAATTGGCGAAGGGGGCCTGCCAACACACATGACATGGCCAGCGGGGCCCAGCCATCCCCTGGGAAGGTGGCCCAAATGTTACTGTATCCTTCAGGGGCGAGGGTCAACGGCGGAACCGAAGGTGAACCATCTGGTTTGCTGGGACCACATGCCCCGAATGGAACGGAGGACGGGGTCCGGAATGCCAATACGTTCAAAGAGAGCGGCTGCTAGGGGCCAGTCGGTGGAGTCGAACGCTTTCTGGAAGTCTAAACTGATACCATAGGGAAATTGGTGAGCCCCACCCCTTGTTGAAGTTCGAGGAGAAGAGTTTTCGGCATCGTGGTCTCGAAGGCCGCCAACCTAACATGCAGGAAGAACTTGGCGCAATTGAGGGTAAATCTGACTGTAGCGAGTCTTGGCCCAACTACGAACCGATGGCGATGGGCCTCGTCTTCGGAGCCTCCGTGGGCTTGCTGGGGCCCCTTGCCGCTATAGGCAAGGGGCCCAAACGCCAGTGCGAAAAAGATCGGGTAGCAACCTTACACGGTAGACTACCTACCTCCCCTGGATCTTTAGCTCACAACAGGCTCTCACACTCGTCCGGTACGGTACGAAACCTTTCCTTCAAACCTCCGAACACTTCGGAAAACTTCAAACGCTGCACAAGCTGCTCTCAGACACTCGCACCCTTTTCTCACACTAGCCAAACGAATTGGCCTTGAGCCAAAACATATCCCGTAGCACGAAACTATACAAAGAACACACGAAGAACATATTAAAAGTCTCTTAAAGTATCTCCACATACAAAGAACTCTTTCAAAACTTCCGACTACGCTACAAGTCGCTTTCAAACAATTAAGAAACAAAATGTTGTACTACCAACAGGTTCCAAGTCTTTCACAAACAAACTTAAACGAAATTTATGCATCGCAAACTGCAAGCATCGAGCGAGGTGGACATCCCGACATGGAATTTCTGCACCCCCTCTTGGACACAAAGCT